CCCAAGGTCAATTTTGGCTGGATTTTTTTTCCCTTTTCCGTTTGGCATTGCGATGAAGTTGTAAAAGAGGAAAAACAAACATGTCTCAAATCTGAAATACACGAAGCTGACAGTGTCGATTGCAGTCGCGGATTATTTTTTTTCCTTGGGAACCAACGGCCTCCACAGTCAGGCTCTGCACCGCTCCGCCCTGCAGGGCTGAGCCCGAGTCTCCCAGCTGATGAGGACCCCCATGGCCAGGGCGTTGAGAAGAGGGTTTCAACTCTTACCTGTTCTCCTTTCCCCGCTCCGTGACCTTTTGGGGGAAAGCACCACCCTGGGCCTCGTGAAGGCCTGCATTTCACATTCCCTTCTGTTACCCAGGAGGAGTGGCTGGAGACCACCATCCACTGCGCAGGAGAAAGACGAGGCTGTCTGCTCCTGTAAGGACAGACGTCTCAGAAACCCACAGGGGCAGTTCCACCCTGTCCTGTAGGGTTGCTGTTGTGAGTCAGAATCAACTTCATGGCTGTACGTTGGAGCCGGGACGTGCGGTTGGGACAGGAGCCACTTGCCCTGGTGGGTTCACTGGCCATGGAGGACGGGAGTCTTCTTTCCTGAGCTTCTGCCCCAGACCCCATGCCCAGCTTCCATGTTCCTGGGAACCCCTTCCGTGGGGGCATGATGGCACCTGGCAGACCTTCAGGAGAGCCCTACCTGATGCTGCCTGTTCTCCACACCAGAGCATCCTGTTGTGCAGTGCTCCAGGGCCACGTCGTTCAGCCTTGCCAAAGAAGTACGACTGAACTTGACCAGTCAGTTCATAAAAAAAGAAACCTCACTGCCATCCAGTCGATGCCGACTCTTAGCGGCCCTACAGACCAGAGTAAAATAGCCCGTTGCATATATAAATACTCAAAAGGAGCCCTTTTGGTGCTGGGGCATAGGCATCGGGCTGCTCTCCTCAAGGTCAGCGGTTCAAACCCACCAGGCGCTCCGTGGGAATAAAATGAAGCTGTCTGCTCTTGTAAAGATTTACAGTCTCAGAAACCCGATCCAGGGCCGCCGTGAGCCAGAATCAACGCTGGCAGTGGTTGTATAAATACTTGGGAGTAATCAGAGCGAGCACAGGCACTTGGATATAATGGAAGACGTCGAAAGTCAAGCAGGGTAGACAGGGGGAATCTCCAAGTGGCAGACAGCCAAAGGCAACAACCTTGACGCTGTCGTCTCTGCTTTCCCCTGACAATGAGGACGTGTGAAGAATGGTGGTCTTAAGGATTTAACAAAAACCAAATCTGTTTCAAGTCATCGTGGGAGAGAAAAATGAGCATGAGCCTTTTCCAGAGAAATGTTCCTTACATTGCAGAGGCTTTAGTTTCTGACGGCCCACTGTGTTCCTCCACACGGTGACGGAAGCCTGCAGGACCAGGCAGGGGAGGGCTAGTCAGTCCTTCATATCTCTGCGATGGGATGGCGCCAGCTTTCCTTGGGAGCCCTGCAGGCCCTAGTGGTTCCGTATCTGGCTGCTAACCGCAAAGTCGGCAGTTCGAAACCACCAGCCACTCCCCAGGAAAAAGACGAGGCCTTCTGCTCCCTGAGAAACTCACAGTCCTACCCTGCCCTAGACTAGTCAGAATGGACGCGATGGCGGAGAGTGAGTTCCCCTGGACTCGGGAGCTTGAGTGCAGCTTGGTCTTAGATGTGCTTCTGCTGTGCCTTGTCGGTCGTCATCCGTGCTAACTGACGGGGACGGACTGCAGTGCACACCCTTCCTTCCGTCACGTAGTAATGACTCAACACCGGTAGAAACCAGGACCCCTGGGGCTGCAGGGGTCGGACGTTGGGCAGCCAGCAGCAGGGTCAGCCTTCGGAAGCCAGTCTCCACAGGAGAAGGATCAAGCTTTGTCCTCTGGTAAAGAATCAAATCCCAAACCAAACCCAGTGCTACCAAGTCCATTCTGACTCACAGCGTCCCTGCAGGACAGGGCGGGACGGTCCCTTTGGATTTCTGAGACTGTGACTCTTTCCGGAAGTCCATAGCCTCAACTTTCTCCGTAGGAGCCGTTGATGGTCTTGAACAGCTGACCTTGGGGTCCTACCCACTATGCCACCCAGGCTCCTATATAAAGAGTGACCGTCTCAGAAACCCACAGGGACAGTTTTACTCTGTCCATAAGGTCACACGAGTCTGCATCGCAGTGACGGCAGTGGGTTTGGCTGTTTGGCTTGGCTCCTGCGAAAGCATGCTGAGAACATCAGATGGAGTTTAAATCCCAATTCACATACAACCTAGATCCTTGGCTGGATGGATTAGTTAATAAGAGAATGGGTTTAACATTTGGATAGTGTTCTTTGGCACTGAGGAGCCTGGGTGGGACAGTGGGGTGAGCATTGGGCTGCTAACGCAGAGGCTAGAGGTTCGAACCCATCAGCCACTGCAGGGAAAAGATGAAGCTGTCTACTCCGGAGAGAGTTAGGTAAAGCCTCGGAGACCCTGTTCCCCCCCGGGCATGCATATAAAGTATTTTGGACTGTAAGTGGTTACTGTTACTACCACAACTACTGTTGTTGCCATCTTCTGGGTTTCTTCCTCTGTAAAATGGGAAAGGTGCAACTCCCTGGGATTTGTGGGGAGCTTCCATGAGATACTGTCTACAAACAGAAGATGCCTGGGTGGTGCAGCAGATTAAACATTGGGCTGCTAAGTACAAGGTCGGTGGTTCAAACCCACCAGCCACTCTTCGGAGAAAGATGAGGCTGCCTGCTCCCCCAAACACTTGAAGTCTCTGAAATCCAAACGTGCAACTCTATTCCATCCCATAGGGTTGCTATCAGTCGGAATCGACCAGTCGGTGGTTTGGGTGGGGCAGTAGTTACAAC